GAGGTTTTAACGCAAAAAAAAAAAAAAAGGAACAATGATAAGATGCTGCGCTTCCAAGCTCCAACAACAGCAAAAAACTGAAATGGAAAAATTGTGGACTTCCATCCTCAGCCCCCTGCAACACAAGGATGCCACGAATAGACCCCTCCCCCTCTTTAACCTGGAAAAAAAGATAGAGAAAAAGATACACTCTTTCATTTCCCACGATTGGCAGAGTAGAGTAGTGCGGAGGACTGAGGTCCTGCCTGACCTCCTCAATTTGGAACAAACTTCAGATTCGATTTCAAATCGACATGAAATGAAAAAAGTCAAAGAAAAAAAAAGTCAAAGTGGAATAGAAATTGTCGACCCATCTACTAATCAATCAATCAATACAGATCACATCTCAGCAACATATGCATGGGCACGCACAATAGACTTTTAAGCACCCAAACATTACAAAGAGAAGTTCATTCAAGCAAAGCATAGCAACCTACCTATCGTGTTTCCCCCACATACAAGCCCTCTGTTTTTTCCTGTCAATGACACCTTGGACGATTTTTGCCATTGTGACTAAATGGACTGAATATATTTCAGATGAAGAAGAGTGAAGCTACATGGCCGCAGATGGGAGTTGGGAGGGGGCAGTGGAGAAGACATGAGTCTCAGATTCAGTCTGGATAGATTGACAGAGAAGAGGTTGAGACCGAAGATCCCAATGGGTGATAGGGAGGGCAAACAAACCAGATGCAGAGGCAGTCGACCTGGTGACCACGTGGCACACACGGAGATAAGAAGTCAGTTGAGGAGGGGAAAGTAGTAGACAGAACATAGAAAAGATGAGTGAAAAAGGAAGACCAAGACCGGATGACAGCGGATAAGAAGGAGAAGACAAACAAACAGAGACAGACAGACAGAGAGACATACAGACAGACAGAGACAGACAGAGAGACAAGCAAACAAATAGACAGACAGACAGACATAGACATACAGACAGACATAGAGACAGACAGAGAGACAAACAAACAAATAGACAGACAGACAGACATAGACATACAGATAGATATGTCGTCGCATGAATATCAGAGCGCAAAAGCGAAAAAAACAAAAGGAAGCAAAAAAGATATCAATTCATTTTTTTATCTTCTTCCTTACAACTCCCCCTGTTCAGAACCTCTTGCGTACAAGGCCGCCCACGTACAGACAGACATATAGACATACATATATATATCGTCAAATAGAACTGCCCGGTAAACCGTAGGCAGAGAGGGAGAAGAGGACAACAAACGAGGGGCTGTGACAAACTGTTTCGTCGGAGTTTCACCGACTCATCAGGAGGCTGAACCCATATATATATATTGTCACATTGTGAATCAGAACGCAAAAAAGGGGAAAGGAAAAAGGAAAAGGAAAAAAGGGGGAGGGGGAAGAGGTAAGGAAAGCTCCACCTGTTCATAACCTCTTACGTACAAGGCCAGCCACGTGGATGACAGGTTGAGCGCTGGCTGCCCCCATCCCCGTGTGTCACAAGGACCCACTTGCACGCAGCCAAAAGGCAAAGAGGTAAAGAAGGGGAGGAGGAAACCAAACCTGACAGGGAAAGAAAGATAGGGAAAGAAAGATAATCCAATTATCACAAAGCAAATAACACATCCCACAGATCAACGTATCTTTTTTCTTTTTTTCTTTTTTTCTCTTTTTCTTTTCTTCTTTTTTTCTTTACCTGCCCCCACCTCGGCAGATAGAACAGCTACGGTGAGGATGATGTGGATGTTCACAAGGATGCCCAAGGAGAGCTGCGCCAGCACAGCATTCTGCAGGACGGCTAGCATGAACCATCCCATCAAAACAGTCCTGACAGAGGACGTGTTGTCCACATGTCAAAAACACGGCAGGACGTTCATCACAGTGCGGCATCATACAGTTCTGATAGCGTCCTTCGGCACAATAGGGACAACGTATATCTGGGTGATAGGGATGTGTACAATGAGGAAATGTTGGACACCCTTCAGGACAGACGGCGGCAGTCGCAATAGATTGATAATGGCTATGGCATAGATGATGCATTCCACAGCCAAGGCGCACCGCATCTCTGTCCCGACTGGCTATGGCATAGATGATGCATTCCACAGCCAAGGCGCACCGCGTCTCTGTCCCGACAGGCGTCACACGAGAGTCGGTCGATAATCCAGAATAAAGTATGATTCGACAACGCTCGCAAAAATTCATTCACGTATATATTGTCACATGATATCAGAGCGCCTAAGCGAAAAAACCAAAAAAACAAAAAAATCTTAAATTCGTTTTTAATCCTCTTCCTTACAACTCCCCCTGTTCAGAACCTCTTGCGTACAAGGCCGCCCACGTGGATGTAGGTTGAGCGGCGGCTGGCCCCACCCCCGTGTGTCATATCGACCCACTTGCACACAGCCAAAAGGCAAAGAGGCAAAGAAGAGAGGAAGGGAACAGCCAAATGAAACAAATAGAACAGAGGGAAACAAGACAGATCCCAGATGACAAGTCCCACATGCAAGCACCGCCCGCTCCGTCAAAGGCCAAACAACGGGACAAGACCACCCAGGACAAGACATAAAAAAGCGACGATCCACAGTGTGACAACCAAGAAAAAGAAGACAATGTCACACTATAAATCGGAGCGCAAAGGCGGAAAAAGACAAAACAAGAAAAGGAAAAGAAGGAAAGCCCCACCTGTTCATCACCTCATACGTACAAGGCCAGCCACGTGGAATAGATAGATAGATTGAGAGAGAGAAAGGGACGTGGATAGACGGACGGCGCACGGATGGAGATACAGAAAGGAAGGGAGGGAAGGAGAAGGGAGGGAGGAAGGGAGGGAGGGAGAGAGAGATGGATGACAGATAGGGGCAGACAGCCCGACAGTCAGCCAGACAGACAGATACAGAAGGGATGGCACACAGCGTGTCTCCCTGGGTTCACGATATACCCAACTGGGACTGCACAAAGCGTGTCTCCCTTGTGCTCTTCACCTCCCAACACATGGTGGCTCGCTCAATCCCGGCGAGAATCGACAGCAGACTCCTCTTTGCAGCTGGATTTGATTTGGATGGTCAACGGAGACTGCCAAGCTTGTGCTCTTTGCAGCTGGAATCGGATGGTTACGGGAATCAGCAGGATGAAGGGGGCTGCTTGAAGTTGGTTGAAACAGGAAGGGAAGGACAGGAGGGAAACAAACAAACAAACAAACAGAGTAGGACGTACAGAGGGAGGAAGGGGGGGATGGAGGCGAGGGGGAAAAAAAAGACGAATGAAATGAATGAATGAATCATCGTCGGCGACGTGGACGTCGCGTCTTGCTTTCCCATCGCCATCTCTTCGCCGCCTTTCGCGGATTCAGCAGCTCTTCCAACAAATGCTCAGCATGCGTAGGACTGGTCGCCGGCCTCCGGAACGGCACGCGGACGGTCTTCCACTCCATCCCGCATCTCACCCTCAGATCTATTCCAAGATGATCGATGGCTAAGAGCGATATCTCTTCTCCATCATTCACGTTATGCCTTTTGCATAACGCCATCATTGCCTGATTCATCCGCCGACCACCGGAATTCACAGTGGATATAATCTCCGGCGCCACGTGGGCAAGAATATCCGGTGTGGCTGCTTGGAACTCTTCAATTCCCACTTCCTCCTGCAGACCAGAGCTGGTGTCAAGCCTCACACTCAAGATCTCTAGCTTGAACAACGACCACCCGTCCCCAGTTGCCTGCCCGTCGCCCTCTTCATAATCATCGTCTCCATCTTGGTCGTCTTCCCCGTCGTGAGCGGCAGCAGCACCCCCACCACCAACGCCATCATCTTCACCCTCCAGGCTTCTCCCATCTTCGACTCCACCCCGCTTGGACAGTCCCGGGCCATCATCATCGTCGGCGTTTTCCCGGCCGAAATCGGTACTGCCACGTAGCCCGAGGTCTGGCTGACCATCACGAACGCCAGCCCTAGGATCACCTTCATCGTGCGACAAAAGATTCTCAAGACTCCCTCTGGCGAGATCAAGCCAAGAGCCTCCTGACCAGAGAAGGCCTTTCATAAACCCACCCATTCCTTCCCCGACGCCGAACCCAGGTTGAGGAGAAAAGGAGGAGGAAGAGGTGGAAGGGGAGAGAGAGAAACCTCCTCCACTGTCAAGATCGCTCCTAGGTGGCCTCCCCCCGCCCTCCTCGTCGCCCTCCTCCCCCCCCCCTCCCATCGCGATCCCTTCCGATTTCCCCCCTTCTCCTTCTTCTTGTCCATATGCGTCCTCCTCGTTGTCAGGCTGACCACCGCTTTCGATAGCATTGTCCCGATCAGCCTCGTCGGATGAATCCGCCCCTCGCTCCGAGTCCAGATACCTGTTCCCCCCACTCTCCTCTCCCCCCCCCTCCTCTCTCCCACTCCCCTTGCTACTACTTGGACTACCACCAGTGTTATCACTACTGCTGTTACTGCTGTTATTATTGGCCCTCTGCTTCGCATCCAGATCGGTTGGTTCTGAACCGGAGTGCTCGGCATTATCGAAGAGGTCAATCGCTCTGCCCGCTCCTTGCACTTTTTTCTTTCCCGCCGCCAGTGTCTGTTGCTCTCTTTTGTTCTTATTATTGTTATTATCATCGTCATTACGATTATTATTATTATTATTATTATTATTATTATTATTATTACTATTTTTATTATTCCTGCCCCCGGATCGTACCCTCTGTATGGGCACACCCAGCCATATGCCATTTCTGATTACCCCCTTTTTTCTCCCATCCTCCGCATTCGCCGACGGTGGCGACGGCGATGGCTGCCCATCCTTCTTCTCCCAGGACGATGATAGCGGCGCACCCTTGTCCGACGACGACGAGGAGGAGGAGGAGGAGAACCTGGCCTTCGATCTGTGATTGGCTTTCCCGCCAGAAACCAACCCTCCGCCTGCCTCTCGGGAATCGCCCTCCACCCCCATATCTTCTCCCTCTGGCACTCCTTCGGAGTTCAAAAGGACGTCTCTCATCTTGTTGTTTCCCCCCTTTTGTTGCAATAGACCACCTACCAAATCCCCCCCCTGCTGCACCTCTTCGTCCACCGACGATTCGTCATCATCCTCCCCCTCTTCTTCGTCTTCCCCCTCCTCCTCCCCTTCAAAACGCTCCGCCCAAATCGGCCCCACCTCCTCTTCTTCCTCTGGTTCCAGCCGCCTCACGACACCTGACAGCACAAGCCGCCACGTGGGGTAATCTAGCTGCTTCGAGTAATCTGTGCCTACAACCTGCGACATGCGCGACGCGAATTCCATGGGATGCACCCATTCCAACGTCTCCGGGCCGCCCCATCCCGCTAGCGACCCCATCGATTCCTGCGTCACACCCTCCATGAACACGTCGGCATTGGCAGGAAACATGTCCTTCCAGTACTGGATATCGAGGCCGTCCTCCTCGTCGTCTCCATCGTCATCATCTTCATCATCGTCTTCATCATCATCATCCTCTTCATCATCGTACCCGACGTAGTCTTCATCATCGTCTTCATCCATCTCCTCCGCCTCGTCGATCTCCATCTCCTGCGCGAATGCATCATCCGTGGCCATTTCGCTCATCAGATCAGAGAGCGAGAAATTGTCCATCTTCCCATATCCAATCAGGATCATGCATATCTGCTCCTCGATCACCTCCTGCTCATCGTCAGGAAGCTCCAAGTACAGGTCTCCATCCTCATCAACCACGTACTTGATTTCCGACGCAACGACAGCTCCCGCTGCAATAACCTCTGACGTCAACAGGATTGCATCGGCGTTCGCCTCCGCGATCGTCCGCGCGATTTCCGCCGGCGTAAGCTGGACCTTGCGATGCCGCGCGCCGCCGCCTCTGCCTTTCTTGTCCGTCTGCAGGTCCTCCAGCGGATGGTATCCCGACTTGGCCGCGGTGCGCCGTGGAGTGCTTCCCGGTTTGAATTCCGCGGATTCCGCAGTAACGCGGAAACAGCGGCGGCCGTCGCACGACGAGCGCCGTCTTCCAGAACCAATCATCATCGGACGAAGCCAGTCGGGATCTCGCCGCCGACGCCCGGCGAGGGATGCCATGTGGCAGTTGATGAAACCGCTACCGGGGCTGCTGAGCACAGCTCCAGGGATCTCCCATTTCCCTCCTGTCCAGCAGGGACAGGAGGGATCGCCGCCATCTGTGGAACTCCATCCACTCCTTCTCCTCCCCCTTCTCCTCCTCCTCATCCTCCCCTCTGATACGCCTCCTCCTCCACCTCCTCCCCGCCAGAATCCCCAGCCATTCCCTCCCTCCCTCGACAATCCCAAGCTGGCCGCCGTCCCTCTCCCAGGCAACCGAGGCCATGATACTCGCGAAGGTGGTATCCGCAACGGACACCGCAGCGATATCCCATGGCAGGCCCCCTCAATCCCAATCAAGGCACTATTATCCACACTTCGCCGGCCTACCATCAAGCACGCCCCGCTGCTCCCATCGCGGAAGCAGGGGGATGCCAAAGACAGCACCATCCAATGCCCTCTCCTGGTCACTTGCCCACCCGCTTAGCCCTGAATACGTCATTCAAATCCCTCCTCTCCCTTCTTCTTCGTCGTCGTCGTTCTCTTCTTCTCCTTCTTCTTCTTCTTCTTCTTCTACTACTACTACTACTTGTGGATTCAGCGTGCCGGAATTACTCCGTCGGGAATGGCGCGACCAACTTGTAAGACCAGGACGCATCCAAAGAGAGGCAGCGACAGAGGCTGGCCAGATGCGACGAACGAGGTTAGGGGGGGAGATAGAAGGAAGACAAACGGCGGCAAAAAAGACGATAAAGCGGGACAGAGGTAGGCACGAAAGAGAGGGTAGTAGACCGGCAGAAGACGCCAGAAGAAACGATGCCCACGCGCGGGCGCACGGGAAAAAGAAGAGAGAAGCCCCCAAAGAGATGGAGCGGAGACCAATACACAGAGCGGAAAGAACAGCTCAGCAGCAAAATGACAGGGAGAGGCCCGATGAGAGAGAGGAGGGAGCTGTAGGGCTGCAATCCCTGTCGAAAGAAACGAGAGGCGAGGGAAGGTAGCGACACAGAGAAGAAGCATTGCCCGAGCACAGTGTAGGACATGCCAAGAGAGGCGAAAAAAGAAGACAACAACAAAATTCCCGTCGCGGAATTCGGCGCTGTCACTGGTTTGTCAATAATCGTTACGGGCGGCGGTCGATCGACCGGTCGGCCGCCGCTTGCGGTTGCGCTTTCTGTTTCGGTACTCGGTACTATCGAGGTATCTGAAGATGCCACTCGCCCGCCGTACCTGAGCTGCGGTGGTGGTTAGGGTACCGGTAGGTACACTGCCGCTGACCCCCCATGGCAGCGACGACCTCCGTGGTCGGGTGGGACCTTCCCGAGAGTCGCCCGGGGCAAGATCCCACTTGCACGGATTAAGAGATTCTGGCCGTTGATCCTTGCTATCTACGGTCAATACCGCTTAATCCGTGTAAGTGGGACCTATCCCCCGAGAAGGCCGACGACCCATGTCCGAGGCACAAACGGACGGATGAAAGGAAGATAATATACGACGAATCGAAATATCAATCAATCAAGTTCTCCGCCAACCGCCAACCGCAACTAAGGCGGTAGAACTTTCTTTCTGCCCCACGCTTGTTTCTTTTCTCAGAAAAGTTCCTTCAAGTTCCTATCAAAAGCATGGAGATCTGTGAAAAAGTTGCCCGCATGGCTACAATTTAGTAGTGGTAAGGTGGTAGGTAGGTAGTGTGAGGTGAAATTGAGAGAAGAATATAGCTTTATTAAAAAAAAAAAAAAAAAAGTTGGTATGTGCGTTGCTGGATTCCAAAAACAGAATCTTTTCTCTGGAACTCCTCCCCCCCCCTTCCCCCCCTGTGGAAACATAACAAAGCTATCAAGGGAGGAGGCCGGTCCTCAGCGACGCTCCGACAGTCCAGGGCGCCACCATAGCCAGTTACCATGGTAACGTGGTATATCGCTACTCGCCTTAGCAGTAGTTGCTGAGCTCTTACCGCTTGTATGCATCACCACTCGCATAGTAAAAGAGCAGGATGTACTGTGCCAGTCGACCTAGACAGTTAATAGTTGGAACGCCTCAGAACGCAACCGTTCACCATCACTGCCAAGTGATAGCACGTCAGACAGCTTTGAGTAAGGTAACTGTGTAAAACAGAGGTTTCAAGCCAGAGGACGACGGAAGAAGCGCTTCAGGCGCCTCGTGGCAACGGGACAGGGCAAGGACGATCCTGATTCCACAACTTGGTGACGAACTAGAAGTTGGAGGTAAGTATCTCGAGCAAGCAAGGTTGTAAAGCGAAGGGCCGAATGGTACACCTCCACGTCACAATTCAGGTTACGGACGAGAGGATATGTATCGGCCACGTGTTCACAGAAGGATAAGTAGGAACTATAGCCGAGGGCACGACTCCACCCACGCTAAATCTACTCGAAGATCATTCGTGACTTCTCGTTGACCTGGTGCCATTGCACGGCTACGCGCTTCCGGATGGTGGGAGGAGTTGAGGGAGACGTATAAAACCGGGTGTTGGAGGCGCTTTTGGCAGTAGAAGTGTGGTCGTCCAAGGACCAAAATAGCGAGATTGAGAAGGTTGATGCACTTCGACCAGTAGTGGCGCATGTGACCAATCCAGGAAGAAGAACCAAAAGCAACGGCCTCGAGGAAAGGCCTTTGGCAAGAGCACGTCCCGTGACGTCGTTCGGGTCTTGATCTCTAATGAGAGTATACCAATTTGTATGGACTGCAATCGAAAAAGTGTTTAGAGAGTCTCTGAACAAGTTGTTCCATTATGCTATCTCTACACGGTGGTCTGAGGATAGATCCGAACACAAATCTTTGATAGATTGGCACTCCAACCAGAGGCATGTGGAAGAAGTGGATTCTGATGTCATGCAGTGTAACTCTATCCTCCGTCGATCCGCCTCGAAGATGTAGGATAAATAGCACTAGTGAACGAAGTAGAAGTACTATCACCCTATATTTAACACTGTGTGGTTCGTTTTTAATTTAGTTTATTTTGCATATCCTTTTATTTGTTTAGGCAAAATCATTTTTGGTTCACCAAACTTTGGAAACTTCGAAAGACTCGGATTGAAACTCTAACCAGAGGGGGAAGACCCAGATGCTGGAATTATGTAGCAAAGACTATAGCCTACGTCGAGCCTCCTCGAAGAAGCATTGTTTAGCATTGAACGACCAAGTAAAAGTACCAACATTGCACACACACCGAATTTGTCGCTTTGACACTAGAAGCAACGGATCGACACACGACGCCGGAGATGGAATGAGACAGAGGTATGTTCCGCCAAAGTTGAGGGTGGTCGCTTGCTCGCCAGGGGAAAGGGAACGAAGAGAGTCGAGACAAATACTCCAAGCAGACACACTTCTCCAACTCAATAGCGTCAACCTCCGGTTGTTGAACATCAAGTGTGTGCATCAATGGAGAGATGTTACGATGATGGCATATGCCTTAACGGATTAGGTTTGGGGTAAGTATTAAGGGATGAGCAGGGGAGGCGCTTTGTGGTATATGAGGCAGTGGACAACATTAAGGAATTCTGGCTGAAAGAACGCACAGTCATCATAGTTTTCCAAAAAGAGGCAAAACACTTATCGAGGCAGGTCAAGGAAAACTTGATCAGAGCTCACGGGGATGGTTGGATCTCTCCGGGAAACTGTAATCCAGAGACAGGTAGAGGTCGGATTAGATTTGAGAGGCAAAATGTAGTATCGTACGTAGCCAAAACAAAGGAAGTGGCCAAATGGTTGTTATGAAAAAGAGAAGCGAAGTTAAAGTTAGGACCAAAGGAGTACCTGATGTCCTTCAAGCCTTGGATGCCAAGCAGAAACTTCGGGCGCTGAAGCTACAAACGAACTTTTGGATTATAGCCTTGCGGGTCCCGCTGGATTTGTACTACTATTTGCGTGGCGCTGTTAGTGGTATGTTCGGGAAGGTACTAAAAATGCACCCCCCATAATATAATCGATCAAGGCCACAATTAATGAACATCAAACTAGATCTGCACCCAAATGACAGGTTTCACGTGGATGATGATCTAATCATCGAATCATTGAACTTGAAAGGTGAAAGATGAAAGGTAAAAATAATCACTCCCTATGCTGATTGATGTAGGAAATGCAGGTGGTATTATCACACTGAGGAAAAATGCCCAAGGAACCGTCAAAATGAGGAAGAGAGGAACGAAAGAGGTGCAAGAGTCGAGGTTCATCAAGAACGTTTTCACCAACACTTGCGAAATAGAGACCAACCAGCTGGAGGTGAAGCGACAACAAAAGGGATAAGAGGACCCAAGCAACCCGGAATGCCAAGTTCACAGGATGTCGGGAGGACCAACAGAAGCGACGCAAAGAGGGTACAACTCCAGAGCTTCATAGTTCGAGTGCAAAGTCACATGAGTCGGCGCTCTGACCTGAACCACTCGCGTAATGAGCAACCTTACGCAAGACCAAATGGTAATAGAAGACTAGACTCTGGTGAGTTTCCGGCCAGAGGAGGAGCAAAAAGTTTGTCGTATGGCGGTCATGGTCACTTTCAAGGTGAACATCGACATGCCCCCTCCTTGATGGCTCCTTGGGCAAAAAAGAGGGACTAGTCAATCAGGCCAATTCCAGAAGAAGCGACAATGTTAATGAAAAGTCGACAGCCAAACTGAACGACACATCAACAACTTCGTCAAGAGCACAAGGGCATATACCTACCACGACAACCACCACCGGCATCCTTCGGGGAGCAAGACGAATGACACATTTTCCAAGAGAATAATCAATGTCCTAGCTTCACTCTACCACTGAGGCATTGTACGCAGTTGGTCACCCCGGATCATCCACAACCAAATATTTGTCGTCCTCGTTTGATTGGAGGCAACTAGCTCAATAACACCAAGGCACAGAGGCACTCAGCCTTCCAAGTCAGCCTGGGTGGCTACAGGGAAGACCAACGATTCTAGGGATAGAACGAACGATTCTAGAACAAAGAAGAAGAAATGAAACCTCCTAGCGAGTTTGGATGGAGTAGGAAACAAGGAAACAAGGAGACAGGAAGACCTTCGCTACTAGATGGGCGGACGAGGAAATAGCAGGCACACACTCTAACGTCCAACTGGGATAAGGAGGAGGAGGAGGGGAACGTGAAAGAGGAGGTCAGGGTGGTTTACCCCAAGAGGAACTGTCCACAACCTCGATCTCGTCCCCGTCCTGAGTCAGGATGAACAGTGAGTTAGAGGAAGACCAGCAAAGCCGCAAGTTATCGAGATCCTCGATGGAGAGTTCGGCCCACTTCAGGACCCAAAGAGTCGGATGAGAGCTAACAAGCTTAAGACAAGATGCAGTCAATTGTCGTAGACGAGCAAATATAATCCACAGAAGTCAGGTGGATTCAGTCGAGTGTAGAATGGGTCCTCTAATATGCACTAAAGCGAGGAATGAAACCTATTTTTTATCCCTTACTAATACACAAGGCAAACCGTATTTACCATCAGAAGAAGTAAAAAAAACACCAACCCCCTTAACGATCACGAAGACAACCAAGATACAGTATGGCGAAAACATGTCAATCAGAATCATCACAGGCGCAAACATGATCAAACGTTGCAGGGGACATTCAAGTTTTCCTTCCCATTGTTAAACGCACGCATCCCATTGGAGTACGCAGAGGTGTTAACATAGTCTGGCGTAAAATGGTACCACATAGATGTGGTAAGAGAGTGGGGTTCTTACAAACTGGAGCAGATCTCATTGTTTCATAACATCGGTGCATTGATACTCCTGACTCTGAATGAGAGGCTGTCAGTTGAAGAAACGCTTGAATCAAAGTTAATGACTACGAGGCTAATGAGAGACTGGGCAACTCGCTCATGTGTAAGCCCCTCGAGAGGCAGTTTAAGGAACAACCCCCGCTCACAGTCCATGGTCCAAGCCCATATGACCCTCTACAGAGCAGCGGAACCAGGTCAACAGCAACTGAACCAGAATGAACCGATCGAATCAAACTGCATTCAAGAAGAGGCGGCCAAGCAACAAATCCATGAATAAACTCAAGGTGGCCACTTGGAACCTGCAAGGATTGGGAGACACCAGCAACAAACAAAAACACAAACGAGTTAAAAGTTG